CTTAAATTGAATCAACGGAATAGATGTTTCCAGGGGATTTCATTCAACCAGAACAGTTTATCACACAAACGGAGCTGCAGACGTGGTGATATTAAACCGATATGAACAAAGGCCAGACAGGAAACCCACGATAAAAATATCCATTCAGAGGCTGCAGCTGAGAGGCAGATCATCCATCATTTGAACCTTTCTGTGACGTCTACAGTAGGTCTGAGCCGAGCTCAGAGCAGCTCAGAACCATCTGAAAGGAGGCGTACTCAGCCGCTAACTGCTCCTCTAGCTTCATGCTTCACATCGGGGTTTTTATCAGAGGCTGAGCGGGAAACAGGAGGCAAGACGTCACTCCGAATCTGTCATCTACTCCACCCAGCAAACACCTCAAGCATCTGTCCGCTCAGTTTTCTATCTCTCTAGCCTCTAGTTATGATAAAATGTGCCTCATTTTCATCTAGATCCCTAAAGTAAATCATATTTTCTTATTTTTCAGACATCTGGAACATCAACTTTAACATTTCCACCTTCCAGCTGCTTCGACTCCCCAAACTCAGTCCTCACCTCAGCTTCAGGTTCTCCATAAACTGCTCCATCGTCACCTCATCCAGCAGCACAAAGTCCGACTTTCCGAACTCCAGCCCCTCCAGCTCCGCCATCCCCGCCTGAACTCGACAAACACACCAGAAACAAAAGAATAAAATAAAGGGACACACAGGGAGAGGATACAGAGGAGCGTCTAACGAAGCAGAAAGAGAAGTGAGGTCGACTTCTGGGTCCCGGTAGTGCAGGCAGACCTATAGGCGTGGCGTCATCTGTGGTAAACTTTTCGACTTACTCAACCTGTGGCTGTGGTCTGCAAGCTGCAACACGTCATGCTGTCACTCAGCCGGGGTATAAAGAGCTGGAGACTATCTTTAAAAGCTCTGAACTTCTGCATCCTCCTCCGGTTCTCTTCCTGTCACAGTTATCTCCTCATGCCTTATGGGTGTTTTTTTCTTGTTTTAAAACTTCTATTCATTGTCTTTACTTGAAAAAAAATAAGTACTTATTTTAAAAGAACAGACATCGACCAAAGGACATGTTGGTGGAGATACGTAGATTAAGCACTGAGAGTTGGTGCTTTTTCTGACAGAACAGGAAGCGTTGTACGTTGGGTTGCCCTCATTCTTTAGGTTATTGATAGATGAGAGATAATAAGAAGTGAAAACGGAATCTGGATGCTCAGAATGACAGATGTGAATAAAGAACCTAATAAAACAGAAAACCGGAGAATGGAACCTCCCACTGAGCTTTCTATAACCCAGAAGTGTGTGATTCAGAGCAGAAATGAGCTGGGAGGGCTCTGATGCCACAGATGGTGCAGAGAGGACGACTGAGTGCAGAGAAACGCCGAGTCGGGTCGGGTCAGAGCACTTCTTGTTCGAGTTCATCGGTTACAAGAACTACTTCTGAAAGAAATAAATGAAACGTAACCATTCAGCCCGACTTACTGACGTCTGAAAAGTTCCTGTTTTAGTTCAAACTGAGGTTATTTCTGTTTGACATCTAAACTTTGTTAAGAATTTAGAGGAATTACCTTAAACTTTATGAATTGGGTCTACCCTGTTTGAATAATAAAATAATTATAACTTTTTGCTGAAAGGTTCGGATGGTGCCAATATTTTTATATATCTTATATCTATCTCTAACGTTCTGCTCTCTCTGCTTTTTCTCATAGTAGCTTCATCTGGTCTGTTCCTGTTTGGCTGTGACTCCATCCTGGAGAGAAATATCAGAATCAGCTGGGCTG